GATCCCCCAAATTCATGCCCCAAACTCCCCAAATCTCACATGAAGACCACTTAAATTTAAGCCCAAGATCCTCAGATTTAAGCCAAAAATCCCACAAATTTAAACCCAAGGTCCCCAGATCTAAGCCCAAATTCTCCCAAGTTTCAGCCCAAGATTCCCAGCTCCAAGCCCCTTTCTCCACACAGAGCAGGGCAGGATCCCATGGGTGTCCTGCTGCAGCACTGGTTCCTTCAAGCCTCCTTCTTCCCCCTCAGCCACAGGACAAGACATTGGGTGAGTATTGGGGTTTCCATGGGCAGTGGGGGATATCCCCTTCCCCACTGCATCCCATGGGAAAACCGGCACCGGAGAGATGCAGCCAGTCCGGGTACCAGAGATGCTGTGCTGGGGTCAGGGATGCGGCTCCACTCAGCATCTCCAGGGAGAACTGTGGCTTAATTTAGCCTGATGGGGGTAACTCAGCCCGTATCCCATCTCTTCGAGCCAGCCCAGCAGTCCCAGCCCTGCACTGGTGGCTTTGGAGCAGCTCCCAACCCATTGTCCTCAAGGCACAGCCATTCTCCAAGGCTTGGGATTCTGGTCTCCTCCACCATCCCTCCGTGACTCAGTTTCCCCATTAGACCTACACTGATGGAGCTAACCAAGAGAGCAAATGCTCCCAGTTTGGTGCTGAGCGGGGCCAATGGGACTTGGGCCCAATTCCCAGGTAAACTGAGGCATGGCACAGCACCCGGGCAGTGCAGGATCAACCCTTCCCAGCCAGCACCAGAGACCTTGGGGCTTCAGCCTCTGACAGGCAATAGGGGAATTGAGCTGCTTGGATTTCCTTGGCTTCCCCTGGCATGGAAAAGTGACTCCCTTGCTGGGAGAGGAGGGAAAGCAGAAAGTCTCGTCACAGCACTTATAGGACAGTGGACATAAGAGATGGAATCCTGGATGGAAGTTAAATGGATGTGGCATTGCGCTAGAGCTGAAGCAGCCTCCTCACGGGGTAAGCTGTGATGTTTGCTGGGAAAGATAACCCCTGTTGACATTCCTCCAGGGATAACAATCCCCTGCAGTCCTTGTTGGGGAGATCGGAGCCAGACAGAGCCAAATCCACTCAAAACTTCCAGGTTTGGGAGCAATGGGCCCAGCTCTAGTGGAAAGCGTTGGGGTTGGAACTGGATGAGCTTTCAGGTCTCTCCCAACCCAAGCCAGCCTGGGATTCAATGATTCCATGGTGATGATGGTTACTGTTATCCCCATTATCCACCCCCAAGCTGCATTTCCCAGCCCTCCTTGTAGGGAACCCCCAGGGATGGATGGAGCCAGGAGCTTGGAGGGGATGCAGCCATAGGGATGCAGGGGGTGACCTCGCACCCAGTCCATGGTGCGGGATGCCGGCGGCGGGCTCCTGGGGTGCAGCGTCTAGACAAGCGCATCCAGCCGCCGTGTTCCCATGGCAACGCTGCCGGATGCAGGGAAATGAAATAAAGGGGAATGGGGGTGGGAAAACACAGGCGAGAGGAAGGAAAGCCCAGGGGGATGGGTGCTGGGGGGGGGTGATGGGGAGCTGTGGCAAGGAATCTCACCCCTCCACTACATCTCTGCCTGTGCCCCCAGCACTTGCAGCTGCATCCTGGAGATCTGGGCTGCTCCATGAGCTCCTAAATCCATTGGGAGTGGGGGAAAAGGGGCATTGCAAAGGCCAGAACCCCCCCCAAACCCACTGAGGTTGCAACAGCTGAGGAAGGTCCCAATTTGTGCCTCTTTCACCCTGCTTTTTGCTCATACTGCTTCGTCTCAGAGCATCTTCTAGGCCAGGGGCGGCATCCTGCTCATCTCCACCCCATAGCACAGAGCAATCAAGGCTCTGGCCCCTTTAATTTCTTTCTCTGTGATTTCACGAAGGCTTTTGCAAGTTGGAAGTAGGTCAAGAACTTGTTTCCAAGTCATTAACTGAAGTCCCCGGGTTCACAGCGGTGTTTGCACCTCCTTAATAGTCAATTCGCTCATTCCAATCGCAGCTGTTCCCCAAAGTGGAGCCGGGCGGAGCTGGGAATGGAACCACATGATGGAAACACCTCCAATGGCAAAGGGAAAATGAGCAAAATGCCGTAAACTGCCTCAAAATGAATGGTGGCAGAGCCTGCAATAGGGTGCTGAGGGTGGTGTGGTGCCTGTAGCAGGATGGGAGCTGGACTTGGCTGTTCCTCCTGGGGATGGGGGCAGGATCTGGGAGCCCCCGTAGCTTCGTTTGCCCAAGGATGCTCTTTACTGGATGAGCTCTAAGGTCCCTTCAACCCAACCCAGGCTGTGATGATTCTCTGGTTCTATGACCTGCTGCAAGGACATCCAGGCCTGGGCTATGGGAAACATCCCTCATGGGGACTAACGGCACCTGGCATCCCCTTAGGGCCGGATCCTGATTTCCAGCTCTGCTGGGGGGTGTTTTCTCCCTGAACCCCGGTACATTTTTGCCCCAAACTCCTAGAATGGGGCATTTCTGCCCCAATCCCTCAGGCTGGGCTCAGCAGCGGGGGCAGTGATGCTCCCGCAGTGTCTTCAGGCTGGATTCAAGGCAGAATAAACCCCCAAATCTCTTCAAAACGCAGCGAAATGAAAGGTTAAATCCCCGGCGAGCCTCGGGCATATGGTGTTCGGGAGGGAATCACCCGGGGAAGGATAATATCCCATCGGGGGGCACCGCTCCGCTCCTGCCAGGGGAGGGCAGAGGCTTTAGTTCAGCCCGATGCACAGATGCTGCAGGCAGGGGCAGCCGGGAGCATCCTGCCTGCGCTGCCTGCTCCGGCCCCGCTGACAGCGGGTAGAACTGCAGCCGCATGCTCGGGGCTCTTCAGGCTTTAGGGACAGTGTTTTCAGAGGGAAACATCCCCTTTTTTGTGTGTGTGTGGGGGGGGAATGGAGCCTTTTCCTGCCTGTTTTTGACTGTTTCCAGGAAAAATGAGGGGGGAACATCCCCTGCCCTTGCCTGGGTGGTTTGGTGAAGACATTCAGAAGGACAAGGGCAGGTTTGCTCCTGCCACATCCTAGGGAGCCAGGAGTTTCCATCCCCCCAAAAGGGATGTTTCCCCCCCCCAAAAAAAAAAGGTGGGTGTTTTGCCCACATAGTAAAACTGTGCAAACCCCTAATTCTGCCCCCAAATGTCCCAGCTGAAGCCTGAGATGAGCCCTTGCTCATCCTCGAGGACACCGTGGTGTTTGCTCCTCATTTTGCCTCTCCTTGGGCTGAAGGATGTGGTTTGACCAGGCTCTTCCCAGCTTGTCCTGGCTCAATGGGCTGGAATTAAGGAGCCGTCCAGGTGCCATCCATCACTCCAGCTCCATGAGATGCTCTCAGAGTCCCTTCCCTCGCTTCGGAGACACACCGGTACCCAAAACCCAGCCTTCGCATCCAGCTCCTGCTGAGCAGCTCTGTCAACAGCCACCAGCTCGATGGATGGCTCTAACCCCCCGGGGTACCACATTCCCTGTTATCATCTATTATTTATATCCCTCAATTTAAAGGATTTACAGCCCCGTTGTTATTTCCAAAGGCTGTTTCCTCAGAGAGTTTAAATAGTGTGGAAGTGAATTAAGCTCAATGCAAACAGCCTCAGTCACGGCACCACGGACCCGGCGGCTGCTCTGTGGCTTTCCATCACCTTCAATTGAGACTGGGGTCCTGCCAGCATGGATCCCAGTGATAGAGTAGGGAATGGGATCCAGCAGTCCTTGCCTTTGCTGAGAAGGCTCCTTAAGGGGAGACCTTAGAGCAGCTCCAGTGCCTAAAGGGGCTGCAGGAAACCTGGAGAGGGGCTTGGGACAAGGGCCTGTAGGGACAGGCCAAGGGGAATGGCTTTAACCTGCCAGAGGGGAGACTGAGATGAGCTCTGAGGCAGAAGCTCTTCCCTGTGAGGGTGCTGAGGCGCTGGCACAGGGTGCCCAGAGAAGCTGTGGCTGGGCAAGGATGCTGCAGGGCCCTCATTTTCCTATGGGAGTTTCAGGAAGCGCCAGGATGGAGCTCCCCTGAGGCCAGCCCAGCTCGCTGTGTGCTGGTGAGCTCAGCAGGGGATGTGAAGCCCATTTTCTCTTGTGATTTGCAGGATAAGCTCCCAGTTCTCTGCCAGGATGAAGGGCCTTGCCCTGGGAGGGGAAACTGAGGCACGGTGCTGCAGGGAGGACCTGGGGCCCTGGAGGGTTTATTGGGTGAATCTGGGGCACCTCAAAGAGCGAGGAGATGGGGCTGGGCTCTCACAAAGGTAAATGTAAGAGTTGGTTTGGTTGCAAAGCTGCTGGAGACACGGATGCTGCAGCTCAGCCCTCAAGAGCCCTAAAACTCCCTAAAACCCCCAAAGCCTCATCCAATCTCCATTTTTTACCATTGACAAATGCCCCAGTGCTCCCACATCACCTCTGCTACCACATCGCTTTGGGCTAATCCTGTAATTAAGAGTAATAGACCCTGAGCTGGTATAAATAGAGCCGTAAATAAGTGCTGAGGTAAAGGCAGGTTCCATCCGAAGCCACCGGCCCTGATTTTGTGCATTGTGTGATTTATTTAGCTGCATCAAGTCCTTATTTATGGGTTATCAATGATAACAGCAATCAAACCCCAGTGGTGTTAAATGGGAGGGCTGGTACCCAGGGCATCGTGCATGAGCTGAGCAGGTTCACCCCTGGGCAGGCTGATTCCAGGGATAAACCCATCCCAAAGGGTGATCAAAACAGTGCCCAAGACCTGAGCAATGGGGACACTGAGGCATGGAGGGTGCTGGTGGGTACAAGCTGGTATCTCCTGCTTTCCCCTTCTAGCTCCAGATATTCCAAATAACCCCTCACTCCCCCCCATGTTTTCACCCCCCACCAGCCAAGGCATCACACGGATGTTTCAGCCCATTGCAACCAATTATCCATAGGAATTCCCATTCATTACCAGCTGCTCTTTGCCTCCAGCATCCCGGGATGCTGTGGTGACCGATGCTTTCATACCTGCCCCTTCCCATGCTCTCTTGCAGGTGGCAGCGCTGGAGAGGCAGATCTTTGATTTCCTGGGCTACCAATGGGCCCCCATCCTGGCTAATTTCCTACACATCATGGCCGTTATCCTGGGCATTTTTGGGACCATCCAGTACAGATCCAAATACCTCATGGTGGTAGGTACCACCGCGGATGCTGCTCCTGCGTGCAGCATCATCCCCCCTGGGGATGGCTCAGCCCCAGGTCCCGCCCTGTATCCAAAGCTGTGGGTCCCATGGGATCCATTGAGCAGGTTGGAGGTGGGATGGAGCAGGGGGTGTCCATTGGGCATTCCCTGAGCTTCTCTCTTCCTGGCAGTACGCGGTGTGGCTGGTGCTGTGGGTCGGCTGGAACGCCTTCATCATCTGCTTTTACCTGGAGGTTGGACGCCTGTCACAGGTAAAGCTCCTCCTCTTCCTCCCCTTCCTTTCCTTGCCTCTCCTTCCCTCCCATGGCTATTAAAGTAGAGCTCGTGCATGGAAAAGAGCAAAACTTCATGTAGTGAAAACTCCATGTAATGATGCATCATTAGGTGATTTGAGCATCCCCAGCCCGCAGTTGGGGTACCCATGCTGAGGATGCACCCTGCTCTGAGGATGCCATCCCAGAGGGCTCAGGACATAGGTCCCAGCTGCCCACAGTGGGGAGAAGGGCTTTTTGGGGGACTTGATGGATGAAACCATCTTCCCATGTGGCTCCAGGACACTTGAGGCTGTTTTAGCAAGCAGAAACATGGGATTTCTGCACCATGCTGGAGGGACGGTCCCATGGTTCTGCCTCTCAAGCAGCAGGTCGAGGAAGGGGATTCTCTCCCTCTGGTGTATGGACACCAGCATAGGAGGAAGCCACAAACCCTGGGTGCTGGCTGCAGGCTAGGGAGATGCCCTGTACTGTGCTAGCACGCTCTGGGTCTCAAGGAGCTTCCTTGGCTTGGAAAACCCCATTTTCTACCCAACCCCTCTGCAAAGCCCCCGAGCTCCACGCTCTGTGCCTCCTCCTGCGCTCCCCTCCCGCAGGACCGAGACTTCATCATGACCTTCAATACCTCACTGCACCGCTCGTGGTGGATGGAGAACGGGCCGGGCTGCCTGGTGACGCCGGTGCTCAACTCCAACCTGGCGCCCGAGGACCATCACGTCATCACGGTCAGCGGCTGCCTGCTCGACTACCAGTACATCGAGGTGGTGAGCAGTGCCACGCAGATCTTCCTGGCGGTGAGCACTGCTCCTTTCCTCCTCATCCCCAATCCCAAATCGTGCAGTGGGAGAAGGGGGTGACGGCAGGGACCGGGATGGGCAGAGCTGGAGATGTCCCACTGTGCCGTCGTGCATCGGTGCCTGTTTATAGCATCGAGGGCAATGAGCCCATGAGAGCACCCCGGGGTGCTGCTCACCCTAAAGCCTGTCAGGCTGTGGGCTGGGTGCTGCAGGGATTGGGGAGCTCTCGGTGTAATCCACACAGAGGTGTTGCTGGAGGATGAGCCCCTGGGATGCGCTGCTTGGCACAAGGGGTGGTCCCCGCATCTCAGGGGCTGTCTCGTCCCATGGGGAGGTGGGAAGGGGACGCACCTGGATGCAAAACTCCTCTGGAGCCTTGGGGGCTGCAAGGAAATAAAGCTTGAAAGGGAATTGGGGTCCAGAGCAGCTGCCGTGCACCCACCAGGCTCTGCATGGGGCTCAGCACCCATCCTGGGCCATCACCCTTGTTCCCATAGCGCAGATGAAACCATCCAGTCTTGTTGCATCCCAAACCAGCACCCACTGGAGATGGGCTCCAGCACCACTAACCCAGAGAAGGCACTGATCCTACCCAGGATGCTCCCAGTGCCCTTGGGATGCTCCAGGCATCCCCTCGCAGCACCAGGCTCCATGCTGGTTCATTGCCCATCACCCCAGTGACCGACTGCTTCTGTTTTGCAGCTCTTTGGCTTTGTCTATGCCTGCTACGTCAGCAAAGTGTTTCTGGAGGAAGAAGACAGCTGTAAGTGCTCCTGATACCTGTCATGGGGTGGGAGAGCTGCAGAACAGCCTCTGATGACACCAACCAGGGTCTTGCTGGGGTGGCAGCTCCCAGCCAGGGATGGGGAATGATGCCTGGGTCACAGGTGAAGGAATACCTTTAGTTGGGGGTTTTGCCCCATTTTCCCATCCCCATTGAGGCAGATGGGCTGGGGTGTGATGTGCCACCCTGTGCCACCAGTGCAGTCCCCCTCCTCAGCCTTGGGGAGGGTGCTGCACCATGGCCAGGGCTGGCAGAGGACAGGGCTGGGGATGCTGAGCCCTGAGCTGCTGCATCTCCCATGGGACTGAGTGCAGGAATGGGACCAGTTTCATCCAATGAATGGGGCTGGGTTTTGGCCCCACAGCAGCCCATGAAGAGGCTGAGATGGTGCCCAGTCTCCCAAGTCCAGGTCCCACTGAAGCCAGGAAGCTCACCCCTATAGTGTGGCCAGGTTTGGGTTCAGCATCCCTCTCGCTGCTCCCCACTGACCCAAATTCAGAGCATCTCCTCCAGGTCCCTGCTCTTGTGTGGCAGGGGCAGGGAATTGCCCTTGCTGCAAAGATCCACCACAGTGCTTTGATATGTTCATGGTAGATGCTCCTCCTGGTGTGGATCCGGCGCCAGGGCACTGTGGGAGAGCCTTGCTCCCATCTCCATCCATTGCCTGCCAACCCCTTTGAGAGCCACCTGGGGCTCAGGGACAAGGGAATGGGTGTCCCCAGCCAGCATCCCCATGGATAGCATCACCCAAACAGGTTTCACCCAAAACAGGGAGGGAATCAGCAATTTAAGATCGTTACAGGCTGATTTTCATAGGAACTACATTGTGCTTTCCAATCCGATCCCAGCAAACCCCCGTCCGGAAGCACTGAGCACCCCAATTAACCAGGCTGTGAAGGCTGGAGCCATCCAACCACATTAAATGCTCATCTGCTGTTAATGAATTCCTGCCAGCTGGCAGCTCCCAGCAGCCACCACAGGCAGCGATGCTCCGCAATGGCCCCTATGGCAAAAGCCACCCCAGCATCCAGCTCCTGCCTTGGAATCAGGATGGTGCCACAGAGCCATCCCAGGTGATGCCGGCGTGCAGCATCCCCATGTTTTCCGCCTGCTGGGAACCAGCGTAGTGGAAAAGGAAAATCTCCATGTGAAAGTGGCCACTGCCAGCGGGAATAACTTGTTTCTGTATCCAAGAAGCTGGCAAAAAGGTTTATCCAGCGCCGCCGGTTTTGGAGCGTGTTTGCATTCAAACAGCTCCTGCGTTCGATACACTTTTAATATTAATGCTGCTGGAGCCCAGGATTCAAATGCACATTTTCAATGGAATATCATATTAGGTTTGGAAATGGATGGATGGATGGATGGATGGATGGATGGATGGATGGATGGATGGTGTCGAAACCGAGAGCGGGCTGAATACTGAGTCAGGAAGATCAGTTTGCTTCCCCTTTTGAGCACGCTGCTGTTTAATGGACACCCCTGTGCGAACCCACCCAGCTCATTGCTCCATGGGGATGAATGGATTGGGTTTGGAGAGATGGGTTGTGCTGTGGCTCCTGCAGCAGCTCAGACACCACAGCCTGGGGGTGCTGGTGGAGGGTTCAGGTCTGGGGCCACATGGGGTGATTGGGGGAGATGTTGAGGTCCCCCCATAGTTCCCACTGCATCCAGCTATGGTGAAGGGATGGGATTTGCCACCAGGACTCCTCCAGTGAGTACCCAAGGGCTCGATAGGTGGTTGATGCAGGGCGAGGAGCCACCAGGCTGGAAATCGCACCAGGGAACATTGATCCATGGGTGTCTGCAATTCCCTAAATGACAGGCCTTAAAGGAGAGGTAATTCCCCCATAATTCTCCTTAAATGCCCACTCTGGAGGCAATGACAGGGTAATTTTGCCCACTTTGTCCAGCCTGCAATGCAAGAGCTGTTGTGATGAGAAAAGCCACAGGGATCTCTGCGTGTCAGTCCAGCTCCTTTCCTCTGCCTCTCAATGGCACTTCCCTGGGACACTGCTGAGGCCTGGAACGCTGCTGTGACCCAGGATACTGCGTGTCCCTGTGATGCTGCTCTGACCACAGCTGCTGCCAAGACCTGGGAAGCAGCACTTCCCTAGGATGCTGTGGGGACTGGGATGGTTCCATGACCTAGGATGGAAAAGAGAAGCTCCAGTGAGACCTTAGAGCAGCTCCAGTGCCTGAAGGGGCTGCAGGAAAGCTGGAGAGGGGCTTTGGACAAGGGCCTGTAGGGACAGGCCAAGGGGAATGGCTTTAACCTGCCAGAGGGGAGACTGAGATGAGCTCTTAGGCAGAAGCTCTTCCCTGTGAGGGTGCTGAGGCGCTGGCACAGGGTGCCCAGAGAAGCTGTGGCTGCCCCATCCCTGGCAGTGTTCAAGGCCAGGTTGGACGCAGGGGCTTGGAGCAAGCTGCTCCAGTGGAAGGTGTCCCTGCCTGTGGCAGGGGTTGGAGCTGGATGGGCTTTAAGGTCCCTTTAACACAAACCAGGCTGGGATTCAGTGATCCTGGGATGCTGCAGGGGCCCAGAACACCACTGCAGACTGGGATGTAGCATTCCCTGCTGCAAGTCAGGATGCTGCGTTACCCATGGGTGCTGTTGGTAGAGGGGGGGGAGGCAGGGAAATGTCCCCACCACCCTCCCCAGCTCACCTCGCTCCTCTGCCCCTCTCTCCAGTCGACTTCATTGGCGGGTTCGACTCCTACGGCTACCAGGCACCACAGAAGACATCACACCTACAGCTACAGCCACTCTACACGTGAGTCTGTGCCGGGCTGGGAAGCCTTGGGGATGCTCTGGGATGCTCTGGGATGCAGGAGCGCCTCCAAGGTCCCTCATTGCACCATCATAACCCAAAAGATGTGGGTCTGCATCCTCCTTGCCTCACCATAAAGACCAGAGTCTCCATCAGGGCTGGGCTTGGGCAGTTTTAGTTCATGCTCCTGTTTGCTGCTTTGTGTTTGCTGAGCCCCACAGGCAGCTCTGCAGATAAGTGAGCTCCCTGTTCTCTGCTCCCTTCCCCATTAAGCTTAACCAGATAAAGGCTGAAACGAGATAAGGCTGTGAAATCCAAAGGGATTTGCCTCCTGTTGGGTGCCAGGAATTAATTATATCCAAAGCCTTCTATGCAAACTCAAGGGCAGTGCCTACAGTGAGAGAGCTGTGGTGGAACAAATGCATCTGTGATGCTGTTCAGGCCTCCCTGCACCTTTGGGCACACACAGGCTCTCATGCGCCCACCCCAGTGCATGGGTGAGCACCCATGGGTGCTGCACCCCACTGCATGGAGCTGGTCCTTCCCCCCCACCACCACAGCCCTCCAGCGTGAGCAGGGCACGGTGGGGTGAGAGCTTCCCGGGATGGGGACATGGATGGTGTCACCCCGAGGGTGGCAGCACACACATGATGGAGATGGATGTGGGTGTCCTGCCCTCCCCGAGCCAGGTCCCCCAGTGATGCTCTTTATCGGATGGGCTTTAAGGGCCCTTCCAACCCACCCCAGGCTGGGTCTGTGATTCCATGCTTTGGGTCTCACCCCTAACACGTCTTCTCTTTCCCCCCCCCAGGTCCGGGTAACCTGCCCTGGATCCAGCCCCAGCCCAGCGTGGGAGCCAGCGGCCGTAGGACCCCCCGAGAGTGAACTGCCCCACACCCAATGACACGACCCCCAGAATGGGGGGGGGAGGAACACGATGCCAAGACATCCATCTCCTCCCTGCACCTTGCAAGACCCCTGAGGATGGAGCCGGGAGCTGCACGTCCATCCAGCTGGGAAGCCTCTGAGCCCAAACCAGGCACCCACAGCAGGATGGGGAGTGGGGGGGCTTGATACAGGTGGACCCCCCTGCACTGTGTCCTCCCCCTCATGCTCCCAAAGCCTCGCCAGGATGGGACACGGGGACAAGCAGGGATGTGGCATCACCCACTGGACACCGTCGTCTTCTGTTTCTCCCAGCCTGGTTTTCCCTTGGAGCAGCAGCACCCTTCCCGGTGTTCCAGGAAGGAGGGGGCCGGAGCAGGGTTGGGGCAAAACCCAGCTGTTTTGGAGCAAACTGGGACCAGGGGTGGGGATGAACAGTGCTTTGGGAACAGGGACCACCTTCATTCTCCAGGGCTGGGACACTTGGCCCAAAATTCCAGGTCTGGGAGTCGGGCTGGCCCCCAAACCCAGGGGTTTTGCTCCCAGAAGGAATTTCCCAGCTCCCTGACTGCTTGGAACAGTGTCAGAGGGGTTCAATCCGGGATGATCCCCTTTGCCATCAGGAGCTGGATCCAGCTGTCAGCATCTTGCCTCAATTCCCCCCCTGCCTGGGGACATGGGGGGGACACAGAGCCCACCGAATCCCCCTGCGAGACCCCCCCATCCCTCCCACCTTTTGGGGGGGGTCAAAGTTGGCAATACTGACGCTGCTTTGACACAGCCCCTTTCCGGCTGTTTTAACACATCTCATGAATGTTTGGGTTGGTTTTCTCCTTTTTAATTACTGGGTTTGGTTAATTTGTATTAATTTGAAGTGCCTGAGCAGTGGCTGAACATGACACCCCCCCCCCCCCCCCCGGCCGACACCGTGCCTTCAGCAGCGCTCTGCCCACCCCAGGGCACCCTGGGGCCTCGCAACCCACCCCGGTCCCTCCATCCCTGTGGGATCTTAGGGGCTAATCCACCCCATCAGGTCTGGCAGCAAAAGGAGGGCGACATCGGGATGTGGGGAATGGTGATGTGGAAGGGGGGAATGGTCGAGATCCATTGGGAAGCGATTGCTTTGTGAATGGAGAGGAGCTGGGAAGTCTCAGAGGAAGCTGGAAGGAAAAGGAAGGTCCATGAAGCATCCCAGCTCCTCCCAACCTCCTCCTTCTCCTTTGCTTCTCGGAGGTGGGATGTGGTGTCTCCTGGCTCCAAGCCCACCCTTGGCACCTGTAAGCAGCAGGGGGTGGGGTGGGGTGAATTCTGCCTCCCAGGGGTTTGTCCTCCCATCCAAGGGGTTATCTAGGGATATTTTTTGTGTTTCCCAAGAAGCAGCTGGGAAGCACCAACAGCCGAAGCTGCCCAGGCCCAAATCCCCCTGGATTTGGCTGCATCCCCCACCAGCCCTTCCATCGCCTCCAGCCAAGCTGCAAACTCTACAGGCAATAATTTTTCCACCCTTTCCCTTAGTTTTTCCAAGGAAAACAATGTTTTTCAGGCAACAGATTCCCCCCTATCCCCAAAACACATTCCCAGCCCCAAGCGCTGCCCAGCCCCGGTGACAACACCATCTCCGGGGTTGCTTTTCCTCTCCAGGACCAAGGATGCTCTCACTGACCTGCCGTGGGTTGGGATGCGGGATGCGATGGGGTGGGATGGGAGCAGTCACCCTCCTGCTCAAAACCCTTCTCCAAACCAGCAGGAAGCAGAAGGAAAAGCCTGGAATCATCCTAACTCATTCAGAGGAGCTGCCCTCCCTCCTGAGCTCGGGGGGAGCCAGGCACTGGTGCCGTGACCTTTTGGGTTTCCTTATTCCCCCCTTTTCTGTTGGCTTGTTTTTATACAGGACTGTATTTGTAATGTGAACGAGGATTTCTTTTCTATTCTGTAACTACGAAAGGCAAAGGAAGGTTTCAGCTGATGCTGTCCTGCTCTGGGGCATTTCCCTTCCTGCTGCACTTGAATCGATTAAAATCTGGTGGGTTTTTTACTTTTGGCCCCCTTTTTTCCCCTCCCTCTTAATGCTCCCACTCGCTCCTGCGGGCTCTTTAGCACCCAGCTTGTACCTGTAACCATGAGCTTCATTTTCTGGTGTCCCAGTGAGATTCCACCTTCTCCCTCGCTGCCCGGGTGGGTGATTTCCTCCCTGGTAGTAAAATAAGAGAAAAAGCTGGAATTTGGAACAGTAGAAAAGCAGAAAACACACGCGGGAGGGAAGGGGTGGATCCAGAGGGACCTGGACAGGCCGGAGAGGTGGGAGCATGGGAACATCATGGAGTTCAACGAGGCCAAGTGCAAGGTCCTTTCCCTGGGTCAGGGCAATCCCCAGCACAGCCACAGGCTGGGGAATGGATGGGGCAGCCTGAGGAGAAGGACGTGGGGTGTTGGTCAATGAGAAGCTCCCCATGACCCAGCTTCAGTGAGTGCTTCAGCCCAGAACCCCCCCATGTGCTGGGCTGCAGAGTGTGAGCAGCAGATCGGGGGGGGATCCTACCCCTCTGCTGAGCTCTGGGGAGATCCCCCCCTGCAGCCCTGATCCAGCTCTGGGGCAGCAGCACAAGAGGGACGTGGAGCTGTTGGAGCGAGGCCAGAGGAGGCCATGGAGATGCTGCGAGGGCTGGAGCAGCTCTGCTCTGGAGCCAGGCTGAGAGAGCTGGGCTGGGTCAGGCTGGGGAAGAGAAGGCTCCTGAAGGGGAGACCTGAGAGCAGCTCCAGTGCCTGAAGGGGCTGCAGGAACCCTGGAGAGGGGCTTTGGGCAAGGGCCTGTAGGGACAGGCCAAGGGGAATGGCTTTAACCTGCCAGAGGGGAGACTGAGATGAGCTCTTAGGCAGAAGCTCTTCCCTGTGAGGGTGCTGAGGCGCTGGCACAGGGTGCCCAGAGAAGCTGTGGCTGCCCCATCCCTGGCAGTGTTCAAGGCCAGGTTGGACACAGGGGCTTGGAGCAAGCTGCTCTAGTGGAAGGGGTCCCTGCCCGTGGCAGGGGTTGGAACTGGATGAGCTTTAAGGTCCCTTCCAACACAAACCATTCTGTGGTTCTATGATGATCCCCCACACCACATCTCATCCCAGCTTCTAATCATTAGAGCTCTGAAGCAAGAGGCTGATTAAGCTTTCCAGCTTGTTTGTTATCACTAAGTATATCAACACTGGATTTTCTCAACAGGCAATTACATGAGTAAGCCCTTTGGAAGCTTGCTGCCTTCTCAGTCCACATGACATCTTCTTGCAGTCCTCTAGCCTGATTGCGTTTTGTGAGGAGCTACCTCTTTCCACCAGCTCTGTGTATCTCATTTGCACTGCACCAGCTCTTCCTCAGCACTGGAAGATCGACAGGAAGGAAGCTCTGGGTTTCTCTTTACATCTCCAGAGCAAACAGGGCTGGAGAGCCTCAAGATCATCGGATCCTTCCCCTGCACAGAGCTATTCATTGGAATATGTATATGCAATGGAAAATGTATATTGTTACTGGGAACATACAGACTGCAGAGTCACAGGGCTGCAATCCTCATCAGGGTATGAGCAGTGGATTTGCAAGGGGTCAGTCAGCCAGAAGGTCTTCCTAGTCCCCAACCTCACTCCTCCTTTGCTTCCAGCTTCTCCAGATCTGATTTCTTGGCTTTGAGCTGTCCACTTTGCTCTTGTCATTGGTGACGCCGTGTTGCTGTTGCTGGGCTGTCACAGTGGCCTCCTGGGGCCCTGCCCAGGGCACAGCTATCTGCACGCTGCACCTTCAAGATGTGCTTCCTGTTTTGCTCCCAGTTAAAACAACACCCCAGCATGTTATCATGTATGGATGAGCATCACCCCCACTGCACACTCCTGTGCCTACACCGTTACATCTACAACCTCAGCTGAGCCCCCTGAGGCACACACGTTGGGATCCAGCTTTTAATTACTGCTTTGTAGATGAGGTTCTTCCCATGGTACCCATGGCCCAGTTAGGGCTGGATCTGCCCTGGGGCAGAGGGATGAGGGAGATGGGGATGTGAGACCCCCATGTCCCCTCCTGCACAAGCTGGAAGGAGCCCGCAGCAGATCTGGCGCTTGAAAGGCTTTTGCCTTTCTTCTCTCTCATATCCTGAGTGATTTTGCTTGAATCCAGAGTGCTAAAGGAGGGTTTGCTGAGTAAGAAAGGGCAAAGGGTGAGAGTGGAGCCTCTCTGCTCCCAGCTTGCCCCGGCAATGCAACCAAACCACCCAGAGCAAGAGGCACCAGTGCCAGGAACAACACAGGAGTCCCATGGCAACAGGGCAGGGACAGGAGCTCAGGAATGGTGTAACACATCTGGCACATGTCCCACTTGCAGGAACAAAATGGAGCTTCTCCTGCCCGGGCAGCTGCCCGCAGTGGCTCCATCCCGTCCTTGAGCCCTTTCTGAGGCTCTGGAGCTAAAAGGCAGCTGATTGAGAGCTGGCTCTGCTGCAGGACCAGAGCATGATGCTGCTTTGCTCCAGCAAAGGCGTTTCAGGGTTCCTCCAGCCATGCCATCAGTCTGCTGCTGGGCAATGCAATTTCAGGACAGCGTCCTTTGGGGTTGCCACCACATCCTGTCTGGCAGGGCCACTGGAGAATTCATCCTTGCTAAGGAAATACAACAGAGGATGGAAATAAGGCCTGGGATGTGTTCTTTAATCAATTTACAACCAAAAGCTTCCCTCCAAGCACGAAAACAGCATTGTCCCCATTCACCCATCGCGTCCTACCGGCCTTGCTCCCGTGCCTACTCCCATTCCCTTGGAACCAGCAGTATTTATGTCGGCACACCTAGGACCAGGCAGCCAGATCTATGGATCAACTCGAGTCCCTGAAAAGCATCTCTGTGCCTTTGTCTGAGGTTGTGAAAGCGGCTTTTTTACTCCTTAACATCTGTGACTCGCCAGGGTCCCTCGGCTGCGGGAGGGAGCCGGCGCTTCTGCACAGGGTAAATTAATCCTTTGTTGCTCCTCAGCCATTTCTTCGCTTGGGTTGGGATGGAAGAAAATCAACTCGTTTTTCTTCCTGCCCTTCCTGTTTACAGTGACACAGGGATTCTTCACAGGATAGCAGGGAGAGGTGCTCAGACTCTATAATGACATCGCAGCCTTGGCCAGGCAGGGGACAGTGGCTGTAAGGAGGGACCAGTTTGGTCCAGGAGATAAGGGGTTCAAAGTGAAGCCCCCAGACCTCACCATGGCTGTGGGTTGTGGTGCAATGCCCACACTCACCATGGCTGGGGCCGTTTTGGGTGATTGTTCACATCAGTTTTGTTTCGAAGCATTTCCCCCGCTGCTCTGAAAATAAGAGGATGGGTGCAAAACCAAAGTGATGGGAGTGATGTACCCTCTGATTGCTGGGACCTGGGGAAAGGCATGGGCTTATGTACCGAGCATCCTCCCCAAAGGATGCACCAGCTGCAAACCAAGAGGAGGAAAGAATCAGGCTTATCCTGAGCTGAGACCCAAACTCCAGCTCAGTCCCATAGCCACAGGGCTGCAGGTCCCCATGTGCCATTTCCCTGCCTCTTTGTTCCTAACCTGAGTAAACTGACTGGCATACGTGGGTTTTAACCACTAACACTTCAACCACAGGAGGACTCCTTCCCTCCCCCTCTTATTATACCGGTATAAATGTAATTATCCCTGGTGTAATTAACAGGAACCCTGTTTCTGGTGTCAGCAGCAGCCTGGGTGCATGCTGCAACCCGCTGTGGTGTAGCTGTTATCTCTGGCTCACAGCAGAGGGTCAGCACTGCCTGGGGACTCCTGTGCTACCACCAGCATGATAGTTGGGGACCAGGAATCCCCACCAGCAAGGTGGGGTGCTGAGGTTGCCAGTTTGCAAGCACAACACTCTAAAACGTGGCCAGGAGAGGCAAGCAGGGACCTGCCCATCTTCCCCTGGGCTCCGCAAGTGAAGACACGGTGTGAGAAACAGCTCCCGACCTCTCATGCTTCACAGCTGGAATGTTTGTCACCCGGGAGTCCACACTGATGCCACGTAGGAGCCTGGGATGTTCAGGGAGGAGGAGGGTGTGTGGGCAGATTGATCTGCTCCAGTGCCAAGACGACACAGTTCCACTATTCACATGTCTGCTATGCCAAGAGGTTGGCTTTGCTCACACCGGTGGTGATTTGGGGTTGTGGCATGGTCCACCATGGCATGGCAGAGCCAGGTTTAGGGCTCTACCAGCTGGAAGGTGGAGAACTGATCCAGCCTCACGTCTGATGGGCTGACTGCATCCCTGAGGCCATTTACTTGGAGCAGGGAAGCGCAGTGCAGCAGAGTAAGCTTTGTCTTCTCTAGGGATGCTCGCTAAGAGAAGCTGCTGATGTTCCTATTCTGCTGAAGAGCCTGGAGGCAGCCAGGCCTCGCTAACAGGAGCTACTCGTTGCACAGGATCCATGCTGCAGCCATTGTGGGGTGCTCAGGGCATGGGGGGGGGCCATGCCAAGGGCCACACACCCATTTGGACAACATGGTCCCAGCAGAGTTTATCACAGGGAGGCTCTGCCAGGTCAAACACGCCACGCCAGCGCTGGCTGAAGCAAGCTTTGGGTGCTGTACACGCTATAAGCTAACTCCTTATCCTGAAGGACCCCATCACACCTGGCCTGGTGTGCTCAGCACCCCCCAGGCTGCAGCCATGAGCTGTGTGTCCTTAGGGGTTCGGAGTTGGCTGCTTCCACGCAGCTTTGGTGCTGTGGGTGCTTAGAAGGGACACAGAGACACCCATCACCCTTTGGGGGAGAAGATGGATGCAAGCCACAGAGCCAGCTCCCAGCTGGATCTGACCCTGCTTGAGCTTAACGACTGCGATAAACCGAGGTAACTTCTTGCACCTGAAACCACAACCTGATGGCGTTGCCCACAGCAGCTCAGGATAAAGAGAAACCTCTCGCCGTGTCCTGTGTGGTTTGTGGGACCCCGTTGGCAGCTGAAGCCCTTTGAAACACTGCAGCCGCCGCGCTGGGCTTGTTTTCTCCGTGTGCATGCACGGGCATGTCCCGAGCGCTTCCCTGCACCAGCACCTTCCTCCTGTCTCCATGTGTGGGTCACTCGCCTGGCCAAGGGGGAGAGGAAGCATCGCATGTAAGCATCGAGCGCACATGTTAAGTTCCCCCCCCCCCCCCAAATAAAACCCACGGGAGCCCAGCACCGCTATGGAGGAGGCTGCACAATGCTGCCGACCGAGCTGCCCCTTTAACATGGAGGTGTTGTGGCACAAACTACCGCTCCCAGGGTGCAGCGCTGTGTTTTAGTGCCCAGGCTGGACCCGGAGCAGCGCACGCTGGGGTCTGTAGTTTCCTTACAGCCCTGGCTTTGTGGGGAAGGGGAGTGGAAGGGGTTTGGGGTGGGGGGAACACCCCCAGAATCGTGCTTGGTTGCTGGTGCTGCGCTGGGAAAGGCGTGGGGTGACCGCGACCCGCTCTTTGCGCCTCTGTGGCGGCTCTGCATGGCGGGCACCCGGGTGGGTGCTGCTGTGTGGGGCAGGGCGCTGGACGCTGCCTGACCTCCAAGCAACGCCCGCCTAGGGCTGCGGGGTGCTCGGGATAAAGGAGGGGGCTCCACCGCAGCCCCATGGGCTCGACAGCGCGGAGCTAGGGGCGGCCTAGAGCCCTAAGACCGCACCGGGGCCACGGTGGTGAAGCGGAACCGCTGAGCCCCAACCTGCGCGGGTGAAGGGCGGCGGAGGAAGAAGGCGCCTGCCCCGGCGCTGAGGGCCCGGGGCCGGGTGTGTGTGAAGGGGCCGGGGCCGGCGGGCAGGGCCGGGCCGGGCCGGGCCGGGCAGCGCCGGCATCGCTTGGAGCGGCCTCGCCTTCCCGGCGTGCAGCGCGGCGCCCGTCCCCGCCGGGCCGCCATGTTGTCGGAGTGAAAGGCAGGGGGAGAGGCAGGCGGCGAGCGGCCTGGGGGGGCCGAGATCCGTCTTCATCCTACCGCTCCGCCCGTGAGTATCGGCACCGGACCGGGCCCCCGCCGCGCCGCGCACCCCAGCGGAGCCGCCGGTGGGGCCATATTGGTGTGGGGAGGAGGCGGAGCGGCGCCAGGCCGCCCCGAAGGCGAGCGGCGGCGGGGCGCTGTGTCTGGCGCTCCCGCCCGGCTCCTTGTCGGCGCTCGGGGGGCCGGGGCCTGGCCCCTATTGTTACCGGGAAAGGGGGCCGCGGCGGGGCCCTGCCTCCCGAGCGCTTCTCCCGACCGCTCCCCGCTCGGCAGGGACCGGGGTGTTGTTGTGTGTGTGTGGGGGGAGAACCACAGGCCCATCCCGGCGCCCCCCGCCTGCGTCCACCCCCGGGGCCTGGCCCTCCGTGGGGCTCCCCCTTTCTGCCGGGGGGCGCCGGGCTCGGCTCTCCGGGAAAGGCCGGGGCTTTGTTACCCGGAGGCCCGGCCCGCTGGGGTGGGGGGGTGCGGTGGGTTCTCCCCTCCCCGGCCTTAATGGGGGGGGGGGGGGGGGGTGTCTCCGAGGGTCGGTGTCCCCGGGGTGGGGGGTGAAGGACGGTGCCTTGAGAAGAGGGGGTGAGGAGGATGCAGACAATACTTTGGGTGTGCTGGTGACCCGGGGGGGGTGGGGGGTGGTTGTGTTTGTGTGGGTTTTTTTTTATCCCTTCCCCTTGTTTTTATCTCGTTTTCACGTAATAACAGCGTTTGGCTCTTTTTAATTGCAGGCTTGTAATTTTAAGAGTCTGTCTCTTGCCCCAGCCTGAGAAACAATCTGGGCTTTATATACATATCTATATATATTTGTAGTCAGTGTTTAATAACTTTGTTCTCAGCAGAGATTTTATTAGGCAGATCATGAGTAAGGAATTTCCTTTATTAAGACTGAGGGAGGTGGGGTACGGGGGGGTGTTTGGGGGGGGGAGCGTTTATCACCCAAGGGTTTCATGGTGCTTTCAAGCACCTCCGTCGGTGACTGTGTGACCAGTGTCCTGCAGCGTGTCCCCAGCCTTGGAAGGAAAACACAAGGTTTAACGCTCAAAGTTCTCTCCTAGGCCCACACAGCACCGGAACAATGGCTCTGCTTTCCCATCCAGCCCAACTTTCCCAAATAACCCACCCAGCCCCAAGCTCCCTTCTCGTTCGTGATTGAACTTTTGGAAGCATGCCTCTTGCGCTGGCTTGATTTGGGGATATTGCCTTATTTTCAGAGGGATATTGAACAGGAGCAGGGAAGAGCTGAGCATGGAGCTGTGCTCTGCGTGGATTAAAGCTGCTTTAGTCAAGGCCATGCTTCAGACTTGCTTGGAGATAGCTTCAGAGTTTTTGTTGCTTGTGGAACGTCCCATAAGCTAAAGTATTTCGCCTGTAATAACACAGAGTGCTTTATTTACATGCTGTGTTTTTATCGAGGGAAAAGGAAAATCACAGCCCTGGACGCTTGGTAGGGGGGTGGAAACCTTTGTTTGGAAATCCAAAACCTCCCAGCAGCTGGTTTAGGTTGGAAAAGTTTATTCTGTGTTTTGAGGAAGAGTTTGGGACTGGAAAGGCTCCTCGGAGCCATTAGGAGCTGCTGGTTAGCGAATGACTGCGTGTTGTGTAGGTGACTGTACATGCTTGTGATGCTCTGTGTGCTTTGAATGACAGGATTCAGCTGTCCGCTGCATTTACCATGGCATTTCTATAAAAACCCGGCTTGGAACCAAACTTGAACTACCCCCAAAGCTCCTTTCCCCTTCGCTCCCTTTCAAAATGTCGCCTGTGCCAAGTTTTCCTCTCGCCTTTGGAGCTGCCTTGTCTGGATCAGACGAAAGAGGAAGTGTCTGGGAGCAGGAGGCACTGGTGCGGAGCTGCACGGTGCCTCCATGAGCCTTGCGACAGTCTCCCCCCCCTCCAGTCTTTATAGTAACACAGTTATTACCGATCTGCCTATAAATGAAAGCAGAAACCACTTTGTGCTGGTGAGCAGGAGGTTCTTTGGGAGGAAAACAAGGTTGTGGTTGTGCTGCCTGCCTCGCACAACTTTGTTTGCTGTGGTATTCCCCCTGGAAAAGGGGCCTTGGCACAGTGAAACTCCTTGCGGATTCATAGTATCTTCCTATGGTTTTTAAAGACTGCCCAGAGAGAGCTTGCAACCTCTTCACGCAGAGGCTGCTCAGGTTTCATTGTCAGCAGTTCATACACGCCCCAACCGGGTGATATGTGAATTTCTTCCCACTAATTACTTACTTGGAGTTTCTCTTATGGCATGGAGGTGCTTTATTCCTTCATTTTGTGGTACCGAAGGGTTTTGATAATGATTATTAAAGGGAAACTAAGGGGAAAATGCCATTAAATTTGAGTATTGTGTTCTTAAAAACAGGGTTTAGTAATATCAGGTGTTGTCACAGTGGTTTATGAAGTGGTTGGGAAAGACAGGAGGAGTTAGTTCTGTTGAATGCTGCTGGTATTTAAGTTGTGAGGGTCTTTGTATAAGAAACCTCCTGGAGTTGTGTGTGTGGCTGTGGAAGCTGTGTGTAGGGGCAGTTAAATCTCATCTCTGCAGTTCTTAGAGTTGTTTTCTTGTGACTGTTAACACCCTTCTCAGTGTGTGGGGCAAACCTGACAAAGTTTGAGCCAAGATTGTTGTTTCTTTTTGGTGTCGACTTTCTTTCTCCACTGTTAGAAGATTGTTCTTGGAAGTTGCCTGTAGTAGTTGAGTGTTGTTCAAAACGACTCTGATGAGCAGAGAGCAAACACGGGCGCCTTTCAGGCCATTGGGATCAGGGCCAGGGTTAGCAGCCACCAAGGTACAACGGTAACGTGTTGTGTTGTACAGAACACCCCCTGCCCCAGTGTCATCCTTATAACTCCTGTGTGGGATCTTTGGGGTTATGTTTTGGTAACAAGCCATAAACTAGTGATGATCTTAGACCAGTTCTGACTACAGCACGGCTTTAGACCCAGGTTTGGTTTCTGTGTGTGCTCTGCACTGGCTGGGCGTTACATAACAGATGAAAACACTTCTCTGTTCACACGTGCAATGTCTTCATTGCTCTCAGGATCAGCTGATAACATCTTCAATAACAAACTTCCACGGTTTGTGCTGCTGGGATGTCATCAGAATATTGGGAGGATGGTGAATTAGGGAGGTGCTGGGTGCCCACCTGTCTTACTGCACACAGATGATGTGGGCTGTATGCAAGGCATTTGGGGTGGTTTCGGTGTTTGAGGGTTTCTGTGACTTGTCCAGCTTTCCCCTGCTGCGAGTGGGACTGGCGCTGCTGGCTGCTCTGGAAGGTTCTGCAGGATCCCGGGCACTGGGAGGTTACCTGCTCTGTCTCCAGGGAATCTTGTACCAAACAGGCCAGTGTGTTTTACTGTCTCACGACCCGAGCCAGCGGCTGAGTGTGCAGGAAGGGTGCGTGTTGTGTTTGGGGTAACTGTAGAAGTAGAAATCCAGGGGTTTAAGTTTGCATTTAAAAAGCATGCCTTGGTATTTTGCATGACTGAGCAAGCACATGGTGGTATTGGGGCTCGTGTATTGACTGAGGATCTGGCCTGTGAAGTGTCGCATGGAAACAAGCACAGCAGGCTCTGAGGGTGGGATTCGTGTTCCACCAGGGAGCCATGGCACTCCAGTGGGTGTTGTGTCCATAGAACACACTGACGCTCTGATTTCAGTGTAATGGGCCCCTTACACAAACCTTGTGTGTGCTGATAAAGCTTTGGAACACAAAACGTGGGGTTTTTTTTTTGGCTGGCTTGCATTGTTAGGTGATATTTTAGTTGCTAGGTTAATGGAGCAAAGAATATGTTACAAGGAGTTGGGTTTGGCGTCGTGATGTTTCCCTGCCAGTCACGAGCTGGGTGTGTGATTGAAGCTGTAAAGCTGAAGCTGTAAGGATTTCATGTTATCTTTTCCTTCCCTCTTTTCCCTCCATCTCCCCCCCCATCCATCCCCTTCCATAGGTGCTGGTGGAATGAGCGTTGCGTGTGTTTTGAAGAGAAAAGCAGTACTGTGGCAGGACTCATTCAGCCCCCACCTGAAGCAGCACACTCAAGATACAGCTAATCCCAACATGCCTGTTGTACTGACATCTGGAACAGGGTCCCAGGCTCAGCCACAGCCAGCTGCAAATCAGGCCCTTGCAGCAGGGACACACTCCAGTCCTGTTCCGGGATCAATTGGAGTTGCTGGTCGCTCCCAGGACGACGCCATGGTGGATTACTTCTTCCAGAGGCAGCATGGTGAGCAGCTTGGGGGAGGAGGAAGTGGTGGAGGCGGCTATAATAACAGCAAACATCGCTGGCCTACTGGGGATAACATTCATGCAGAACATCAGGTAAAAACCAAGTTCCCTGTTTCCAAACTCAACCTGTGAATGCATCGGGCTTGTGATAGATGCTTTTAATGATGCTTAAGCTGGTTGTTGGGTGGTTGGAATGGGCAACAGTTGTGCTTTTTTGTTTTCTCTTTCCAGGATTGTGGTGCCTTGGTTAGCTATAAGCTGAAACATTTTGGCTTTGCAGGGTGTTGAAAGCCCAAACCGCTCTGTGACAGTCAAATGCATGTTTGCAAAGTTTCTCATTCCCTTTATTGATTTGGTTTTTTTTTCCAATGTGTGAACCAGTGTAGCAGTGCCTGCTGCTGCTGTTCAAATCTGTTGCTGTAGTTAAATAATTCTTATGTAATGGCATTACAAAACTGCCAATGCATGGAGGTTGGGCTTTTACCATTCCCAATATTGAAAAGCACAGCTCTGGAAGTCACTGGTAATGTGTTTTCCTGGGTTTCTTTGCTTGTTTGTTTTGGGTTTGGGTTTTTCTTATTATAATTGGGAGGGGAAGGTGCTATTCATGTGCTTAGCTGAACTGAGAACTGCCTTAGGAGTGTCAGGAAACAGCTTTTAGGCACACAGCTACCTTCTTACAGCAACTAAATGTTTTTAAAGGGGTAGTGGGCTGGCCTGTGCCTCTGTAGTAGTGTTTACTAGAAGTCTGCTTAGCAGTTGCATTGTCAGATGTGCTGTGAGTTAAATGACTGCATGACTCACTCTGGCTTTCTGTCTGTGACCTGTGAGTAACTCCTCAAAGGAGATGTGCTCCCTCTTCTAAGGGAGCACAACTTAAGTGGAAGCACACTTTTCACACGGAATCATTCCCACAAGCAGGAGAGCAGCAGACACAAAGCTTCTGCAACCTGCACATGAGTATCTCCTGCCTCTAGTATTTCAAGTAGAAGGGAACAGGCACTCGCTCCTTTGTTGCACTGCCTAGGGGGAAGTGTTGCCATCCAGACCTTTGAAAAGCAAATGTTGCAGAGAGTTTTGCAACCTCGATGGTGTTGGTGTGTGCATCAACAAAGAAGGAAATCCAGGTTCATTTTTGTCTGGAAGAAAAAGCATATGAAATCCTGCAATATGAGCTAAGCAGTCAGAAGAATATTGTTCTTATTCCCTCATGTGGAAACAAAGGATTTAATGAAGTTATTTCAATGCAGTTATTTCCTTTAAAGTGAGGAGGTGTAATTTTCCTGTTAACTGGCCAAGTTTTCAGTCACTAAATGTAAAAGTTACTGCAAGAAAGAATGATGGAGGAAATGTAAATGTGGTACTTTCTGGTTTTCCCCCATGTGTTTTGTGATCTGAAGCTCAAAATAAATACAGTTAACAGTAGGACCTTGTTTGTTTTGCTTCCTGGTGGTTTGCACATTGCCTGTACCTAAGGTCTTTGTCACTCAGCCCTGGTGTTTAGTTTAAAGCCAAGAGGTGGGAAATCATTGTGGATGTCTGTTTGGTCTTGATGTTTGATGGATAGACTTCCATTGCTGTACTCTTGATTTTAGACATGCAAAGATAATGCAGTGAGGGCCCTTGTTGCCTTGAAGACTGGTTCAGAAACTCAGGAGCTAGAAGATAATGGGAAGTCAGAAAAAACTAATTATAGGGTAATACAGGTTAATGTCTGCCTGGAGCTTGGGAGTTGTAATTAAAGATAGAGGGCTGCTTTAGTTGTTGAATCCCAGTTTCTTCTTCGTTATAGATGTAGACAGGCATCTCTCTGGTGATAATGCTCCAGTGAGTTTTACCAAATGATAGTATTTCATCATGTGTTACTATATAGCTACAAGTGCTGTGAGTCAGAACTTATTTACTGTGTCCTTGATTTCATTTCTCATTGTGCTGGCTGTTCTCATTTGTTGGTACTTGGAGCAGCTGCTCTGAGGATGGAGCTGTGAGTGGCTGTAATAGGGATGACTTAAGAAACTGAAGTTTCTCTGCTCCCAAGGAAGTAGATTGTATCCTCTTGTTGTGAACAGCAGAAAAATGCTCATTCTTTTTCTATTTTCCCTTTACCAGAAGGTGAGGGGGGGCAAGTTTCAATATAAAAGTCAGCAATTGAAGATGCTGCTGTCACTCTGCGTCTTTAGGTATCCACACAAATAGCATGCATTATAAATTCCTCTTTGTTCTTGCAGATACTGAAGTAATGGTGGAATCTGAGTTTTTTTTTCCCCGACTGAAATCTCTGAGCTCCTAAACAAAACTCCTATAGACAGGCTGAGAGAGCCAGGCTGGTTCAGCCTGGAGAAGAGAAGGCTCCTTAAGGGGAGACCTTAGAGCAGCTCCAGTGTCTAAAGGGGCAGGGACTCCAGGAAGCCTGGAGAGGGGCTTTGGACAAGGGCCTGCAGGGACAGGCCAAGGGGAATGGCTTTAACCTGCCCGAGGGGAGACTGAGATGAGCTCTTAGGCAGAAGCTGTTCCCTGTGAGGGTGCTGAGGCGCTGGCACAGGGTGCCCAGAGAAGCTGTGGCTGCCCCATCCCTGGCAGTGTTCAAGGCCAGGTTGGACACAGGGGCCTGGAGCAAGCTGCTCTAGTGGAAGGGGTCCCTGCCTGTGGCAGGGGGTTGGAACTGGATGAGCTTTAAGGACCCTTCCAATACAAACCATTCCATGGTTCTGTGATTCTATGAAAGCGTACGTATGTCTTTCCAAATCCAAACAGCCATCTGTGGCTCCTGAGGGGGGAGAAAGAGCTGGTCAAGATGTTGAGCTGGGAGAAGTTACCAACACTGAACAGGGGTTTAGGGAAGTTGGCTGGGATTGCTGGGACAGGGCTGGTGGAGGCATGTATGTGCTTGAATTGGAGCGAAGGGAACGTCTCTGTGGTGTGGTCCCTTCTGAATTGCAGCGAGTGGCTGTGCTCAGACTGTCTGGATTGCTCCAAGGGTAGTATGGGAGCTGTTTAGTAGAAGCAAATGATTTTAGGGATTTGCTTGCTCTGAGAACATGTTTAGTAATTGGAGACAATAGAACTCCACAGGGATCATCTTGTTGAATGTGGGGAATTTTTCACATGTAGTTGGTGAAGATTAGTGAGAGCAGCAGGGCTGGGACTGGGGTTTATGCTCAGTTTTGCCTTAAGGCAGTGTGACCATGGAACTTCTTAACTGGGAACTTGAATTCAAGTGGAGACAGGAGGTAAATCTCCTGGCCTGTCTAGAGCACAGCTACTCAAACAATGCTGCTGTGGAAGCGTCTGGATTTGATGTTTGACTGTGTTAGTGCCTGTTGGCAGGCCCTGTGACTGCCTTAAAGTCATGGCAAGGGCCTCTAAAAAGAACCTGGAGGCTAAGAGAGGAGGAGCCCTGGTGTTTGTGCTTGAAAGTGAAACACAGAATCATAGAATAGAGTTGGAAAGCACCTTAAGATTATCCAGTTCCAACCCCCTGCCATGGGCAGGGATGCTTTATCCTAGACCATGTATAATGGATGGGAACCTAGGTGAGAGTTGATTCCCTCTCATGGCTGAAAGGCAGAACAAAGGATGCTGTTTGCCACAGCGTAGGCAGCGTATATATGTTTGTGTTCATGGTGAGTGTCGGAAAGAGGCAGGAAAACATAGGTGTGCAGCTGTTCTATGACCTTTATACGTGGCTGCATTGGAGTGCCTGCCCAGCACTCTCAGAAGTGGACAACAGTGAGATGATGAGAAACTGCACGGGCCCACGAGCAAACAGAGATCTGGCACAAAGGCGGTTGTTTTGATAAGGGTATAAAAGCAGAACCCTCTTGTGGCCATGGCAGAAGCCTCACCTACGGGTGGAGGCAGTGCATAGGAGCTTTCCCAGTTACCTGAGCCTCCTGGCATTGGCTGCAATGGGGCTTCCCAGCTGGAAGTGTGGGCCTGGAGGACCATTCTGTGGTAGCTGGTGATGTATTTCTTCTTAAACTCTGTTCTCTCTATACAGTAATGATTTAATGCATTGCTGACTTTCTTCGGTACTTTGCTTATATACCTGTATCTCTGATTTGCTTCATTGTACTTACTCACTATATAGAGAGAGATGTTTACCTAATTCACATTAGTGTGCTTGCTTTAGTGTGCTTATTGGCTTTTGCATGCTTGTTTAATAAACTCTGCATATTATACAGCTAGTGTGTGGTCACTTTGTGGTGTACTGTGTCTGTCAGCAGAACACCGTGTCACCAGGGATCTGTCCAGCGTGGTGTTGAACACTGCCAGGGATGGGGCAGCCACAGCTTCTCTGGGCACCCTGTGCCAGCGCCTCAGCACCCTCACAGGGAAGAACTTCCTGGGATCTAACCTGAACTTCCCCTGTTTAAGTTTAAACCCATCACCCCTTGTCCTGTCCTGTTTGAGTGACAGTTGACTCTTCAGGACAGAGACTTACTGATCTGCCCCTGGAAATCATTTGGTGTGTGAGGGCTGCTGGGGTCCAGATAACCTGGCTTGGTGTCTCCTGGAGTTGAAGGCAGAGTCCTTCATGTACACCGTGTGTTAGCACATGGGGCTCTGGAAGGCAGCTTTCTGAGGTGTGTTTCATTAGATGTCTAGAGTTCTCATGGATACTTCCTGCTCTCACAGTCTTAGGGCTTTTCTTAATGCTGACGCTGACAGGGCTGTGCTAAATCTATACGCAGATGATTTACAACATAACTCTCCTGAATGAAATGTCTCATTTGGCTGATCTGTTTCACAGAGATTTCCCCATAGTAAAGGGGTGTCTTGGGGAAGGGGAATTGGAATATTTCATTTGGTCTTTTGCTTTATATTGCCCTTTGAAAATCCTTCCTGAGCTGGAAGGAGCATGAGTGAAGTTGGATATTTAAGGTTGGGTATTGGAAAATCCTTCGAATAATACAGGGGAGAAAAACCAACCTGAAATCTTCAGAAGGGTACTGTAAGAACTTGCTTCCTGGGTATCCATGGGTTTCCCTGTCTCTGACAGGCAGTGGGAAGTTACCTGGCTCTAGTTGGGATTGCACAAGTGCCCTGGTGTGCTGGCTCTGGGATGTGTCTGTGGTGTGTCATAGGATGAG